TTTATTACATTCTAAGTTCTTCCTTCCATGGTCAGCTCATTTCTAGATGATTCCAGTTGCTACTCTAAGGGTATCATTTCTAGCAGCTTCTCCAAGGTTCAGTATCAGTCTTACTCACATGGAGACTTTTCTACTCCCTTCTTAGGAGATTCTAGTATCTTTTACGTGGCTTTTGCGCCTGCCCGTTCTCCGGTGGTTGTACGCCAGTACTTGCCAGTACTGGCTACAGGAAATATCGGCTTTGTAGCCGTTACACTTTGAAGGCTTGATTTGACGCAGCTGAAGATGTCTCCACGTGGGAACTGGAACAACTGGAGCCGATCCCTTAGGACAATGCAATATAATTGTTGGACGTTATAGAGTGCACTATTGACGGCGGAAACACGGTCCCGGGAATTGAAAAACTATGAGGTTGCTCAAGACGCACTGGACAATAATTGGGATGCAGGTGAGAAAAATATTCCAAGCGTGTCTAGACTATGGACACTATCTTACAGCGTTTCGAGCCGCAAAATTAGTCCTACTTCCAAAGCCAGGACAATGTAACGGCTACAAAGCCGATATTTCCTGTAGCCAGTACTGGCAAGTACTGGCGTACAACCACCGGAGAACGGGCAGGCGCAAAAGCCACGTAAAAGATACTAGAATCTCCTAAGAAGGGAGTAGAAAAGTCTCCATGTGAGTAAGACTGATACTGAACCTTGGAGAAGCTGCTAGAAATGATACCCTTAGAGTAGCAACTGGAATCATCTAGAAATGAGCTGACCATGGAAGGAAGAACTTAGAATGTAATAAATCTGTATATATACCTGGATTAGTATGTAGAACTTAGGTCTTCATAGTTGAATTATAAAGTACCATCATCCATACAAATGCTCCTTGCTTTCTATAGTTGATCTGTGACACAAAGTATCTCTCAAGATCTCCGCCCTCTCGGGTAGTTTGGAGAGGCACTTGTCTTCTATAACCCTTAGTGGGGGGTCGTCAGCACGACTTGGGGTTAGCCCATTGCATCAGCTTCAATACCTACGCATCTGTGGTGGTATTTACATATCTCCTTCGCTAATCTCTTTTAGCTGCTTCGACGGTAGCTTTAAATTTTTTGCGGGCTTGGGCTGTGTCGGTATAACAGCGGCTTGGAGATTTAATGTGCTAGCACAAATTTTCTGGTAACAGATTGTTCTTGTATGTTTGTTTGTTTGTTTGTTCATTAACGTGCTAGGTGAAGTAACTACCGTCGCACTCCTACTGGAGCTTGAGCACGAGTGGGGTCGGGCCGGATCAGGTTAACTACCGTAAAGTACAAGTGTCTCGTCCCACCTCAATGACCGGAACCATGCCGGAACGCATCTATGTGTTGAAGCATGACGAGTACAGCAGCCCAGAGTTGAAAACAAAACAAAAGAAAACTTCCACGCAAAATCCTGCATTACAAAAGAAAAACTTTGACAATCTCCCTTCCATCGTTCCGCCTCGGCCACCACGCGCCCGAGCCTCGATTCCTATCCCTACTTCCATGCCAGATCACCTAGGCTTTCGTTCATCACCTCCGAGTCACAGGTATCCCTGCCATCCCCCGGCTAGCCTCCGCATATATTCCGCTCTCCTGGACGTAGTCCCTGAACAGTTGCCACCCGCTTGATCCGAGCATTGTTTCTATAGCTGGCGCCCTTCGCTTTCCGCTTTTCAGCCGCCATGTTGCCAGTGCTTTTCGACACTGGACAAGGTGACCAATTGATTTTTCCCTCCCACACTCGCAGTGAAGTGTAGCGTCAGTGTGGTTGAAGCGGCGATGATAAGCCACGAAGTCTCCATGTCCGGTTCGAGCGGCTATTAAGCGAGCGTAGACTGCCCTTGGTAGTGCTAGTTCTGGCGGTTTCTTGCGTCGAATCTCGAGTTCGAGGTCTGCATAATGTCTGGGGCGATTCGAATGCCACCAGTCTGTAACCATCTGTCTGGCCAGTTCGCGAGCTTTCCTTCCGCAAGAGGCGAGGGTCATCACCCCATGTGTCGTAGATTGTTCTTGTAGAAAAATGTCTATGTATATTCTATCTAACAAACACGTAAGGAAAATGCTACCTGAACCTGTCTACAAGTTGGCCTTAGAAATTAGGTTTACACATGATAAAATCCCTCATAGTTGTCATTTATTCCAACAGGCTGCTAGAACTGAAGAGCCTCTAAGAAAACTGCTGTCCAATGATTAGCAATTGCTTTATCTCTCCCGAAGGGCGATGAAGCTAGAATATGACTTTTATTACTCAACTCAGCAGGCCATGGCTCATTAGCCGAGGAATATGTACAAAAAAATTATTCTTCTAGTCTCCATGCTGGCTAGCAGTATAGCGAAGTAACACCTCGCATCGGTACCTCTAATGATTCCAAGATGAATTTTGTCTCTGACTGTGACGGATGCCGTGTTAGTGTTGAAGAAGTCGATTTATTAAACTACATGATGAGAAAAGAAAACTCTAGCTACTACTAATAAGTATTTGAAAGAATTGATCCTCTTTGTAAATATCCAGACTGTTGACTTATCAATAGGCTCAATATTTACCACCCAGCTACGTATTATCAATTGCCACTTAGTTGTAACAACGCTTCGACCTCATGACTTGTAGTGCCGTTTCGTTCAGCTTTATCTATTCCTTCCCATGCAGACTTATTGTAGCCTCTTCTCAGCTTCCTATAAGACCGTATAAATACTCTTTTCAATGACCATGATGCTTATCAACTTTTAGACATGGGATTTTTGGAAGGTATAGCTTTGATCAAAATATGTCGTCTTGTGCGTGGTGGTGCATTGTTGAGGGCTGTTTCTGGTTGGGATATTAACTCGAATATTTGAAGGGCGGCCTCAAGCAGAACCACAATGTCTCCAGAGATTATTAGTCATGATACACCGTGGTATGACGTTTATACAATTCGTCATCACACATAGATAGTCCCAGGAGAAGTTTGTGTAAATAGTTTTATATAGACTAAAATAGAGACATCAATTTACTTTCATTTTACTTTTTTTTGACTCGTAGAGTCTGACATCAACTCAATCGATAGTTGATGGAGCCTAAAAGCTACGCCTGCGATGTTCGGCACATCTATATGAAAAGTTAAACCCCTGCACAATAATCGGGCGACCTTATATCTGGCATAATTATGAAAGACGAAAGTGCTGATAAGTACGGTTAGGGAAGTGCAAAGAGTAGAGTTTAAAATTTATTCCCCAAACCAGTAAACTTACACCCACAGCTTGAATGCATTGTAAAAAGATGTCATCTTTCCTTACCTGTACCTATCGGCAAAGGATGAGCTTTTTCACTACTGTCTCCTGGAAAACATTCGCTCCAAAATATCACATTTTCTCTGTGCAGATGTGTCACAGATATTTTCAAGCACTTGGATGGTTAAGTTAAGACAGTCTATGACCGAAGAGCTTGCGTAAGAGATCACTCGCGGTCGAGCGTAAATAATTTTTGTTAAATCTCTAATCCCACTTCCTCACGCTGATTTCCGCCACTGCTGCAGAATACTCAAGGATGGCCAGGCGATATTTTTGGGGAGTGAGCCACTTCAAGGCGACCTGCGACATCATCATGCCGTTTTCGACGCTCATTCGCATGTAGAACGGGAATTTCCCAGCTTCGGCAACATGGCTTTCTCCGTGGCAAGATTTTAGCATAGGTTCCACAGAAAACTCCTAGACAACGTAGCGATACCACGAGGGATAGTGGCTATTGCGAATGAGACCTATTTGATGATACTATTTGCTATGCATGTCAATGTATCATTGCCCCCAGCCTGTTAGTCTAGTGGACCACGTAAAAGAGGTAGGACGACGCGAGATTCGGAGCACACCTAGTAATAAAGGATATCTCATCATTTGCATCAATATAGCTCAAGATCTTAAATGACGTAGTCAAATTGCTCTATGAATAAGCTACACAGTGATACATCTGCTTAAAAATATCTAACAGTGTTTTCTATGTCTCAGACCGTATGAGAGCTAGTTCGCAATGACTGAAAGTCTGGCTAGATTGTTCCGCCTAGCCAGATCCTCTCAATTCTAGTCTCTTTAGAATGAAAGACAAATCTATGATAGAGCAATAAAGGGGGCTTGGATAATGTACCAATCATCTAGTATAATATCTAATTCCCCAGTCGGATTCGAGAAGTACTCTGCATATATTATCTTTAAATATGTACCATAAGATCGCAGTTGATTTTCTTAGGATGCTACTAAATATTTCTAATACGAAAAGATGAAGTAGGATTTGATTTAAGCAGAATTCGCAGAAATAACCATGGTGAGCTGTTTTGGAATTGGTCCAATTACCATGTAATTGTTACTAACTGCTGATTCGAGCGTCAATTAAGTAAATAGAAGCTCGACAAGGGAAAATGAGAGTTGAGTGGTTATTTTGAAAAACAATCTCAACCAGCCGATATGGAATATTCTTTTGTGAAATCTCGCATATGGCCGAAGATTTTAGCTTTCTCTAGGTACCGAGAACAAATAAGCGTGTTGCGAAAGATACTGGCACTACTCTGCCCAAATCCTAAAGCTAAAAATATCGACCTTCTAGAAACATTAGATTTGCTATGGCTTTCACATTATTATATAAGCTTACCTTTGATCTTTGATTCACTATATTATTGTGGCTTGACCACCAATTGTTCGAATCTATTTTTCTCGCAGGCTTTAGACGAGCTAGTTCGAAGATTATAGAAAATTCATGTACCCAGCAGAGAAACACATGGTTTCAAACCTTTGAAAAGCCTGGAGACGGGCCTTCGAGCTTTGGTATCACTGTATTAACTACTGAACTTCATATGGGTGTGATTTTTATGTTACTTTCTAATCCTTAAAACTTAAAATTGAATATTGGACAGTCGATTCCTTGTTAGTCAGATTTATGCTAGACTGCTGTCGTGATACACCGAAATTTTTCGATATATTTAGGTGAGAAGTTTTAGCTTACTCACCACCACGACTTCATTCGCTAGTCTTCAATATCATCATCAATTAAAACTAGCTTGGACTCAACTAATTTTACTGGAAGACCGACGGCATTGCCTGCTCCTCTTTTCATTAAAGTATCTTGACGCGATGACTTACCATCACCTGGCTCGTCCGTAGCCCAATTTTCACCGACCTCGTCGCCATCAAAATCTTCGACATTGATTTGCTCGTTATGAGCAATACCTGTGAAAATAGTGACCTTCTCCATTTGTTTTATCTCTGTGATGATACCTGTCGGATATCTTCTTGACTTGAGTATTTTGGTCATAAACGGAAGACGTTCTAACAGAATCCCACTCCGCGTTAAACTACCAGACAATGTAAGCGGCTTAAAGCCAGACAATTCATTATGTTGCGTGGAAACGAATGGCTTTGAAGCCTCGTCTGTTTTGGAATTATTTTTGTGTGTAGTTTGCGATTCTGCTATATTAAAGTTGGTATACTCATCATTTTTCAAAAGTCGATTAAACAAAATATCAATGGTTCCCTCAATTTCTTCTCTTACTTTTCCAAGCTTCAAGCCAGTCGGATAAAACATGCTATGTGCTTCTCCAGACTTCCCAGATCGCAAGCCGCCAGCGGCCGGAGCTATTCGAGTGACGGGCTGTGGAAGGGAAAAAAGAAGTCCTCTTACTGCAACTTGAAAACTAATTTCATCTCGTCGGAGAAGGTCACTAGATGTCCAAACTCCAGTTCTACTTCCATTAAATCCATTAGATTTACTAGAGCCGTACCAAGAAGGATACAGAAGATCACTATCGGATATGGCATCAATACATCCATTAATGTGATCAAGAGACGTAAATTCGAAACAGGCTGGAGATGCATTGCATGAAAGGACATAATTCTCGTGGAGAGTGGCAATAAATGTTTGGGTATCAGTACCAGTCTCATCTATCAATTCATTAATGGAGACAAGAGATCTTCGAGGTCGCGAGTATGTCGATAAGAATTCAGGGAGACGTTCGGGATTGTTGTTAGTAGATGAGATTGGAGGTAATTCTTCCCGTTTATTGTAAACAACTTTACCAACGGCATGAAAAATCCCTAAACTAGCTTCTCGTTGAGTGATGAGGTCTAGGCTGTCCCTTTCCCTTGTGCTTAACGGAACGTTTCTGTTGCTCTTTTTATTTTTAGCAAATTCTACACTCGCACTCCAGTCTCCATCAATGTCACCTCGTAGGCAGAGAAATTCGAGGGATGAAATAGCGCTCCTTATATCCCCAACTTCCCCTAGCCTCTTTAAAGCTTCTGTTCCTGGGGTTTTCTTCCTTCCAGATTTTCTAGATTCTTTCTGAACAATTGTTTCGAGGGCCTTAATCATAAAAGTAGGAGCTATTGGATTCATTTCTATGGTCTCGAGTCCTGGATGCTGGAGGATATCTGGTCCTAGAAGACGGTGAGCTGTGAAACTGTCTGCCGAGGATGTAGATGTGGTCAGCCGAGTCTCTGATACAATTAGGATCACGGGAACTATAAAATTACTGGAAGTATTTTTATATTTCGAAGAAGATGGTGTGTTGGAAATGAGATACTGCAATATAGATGATCGAAAAGATCTTAGTGTACAGGAAGAAGTTGAAAATGTATTAGGGAATTCTTCGATTAGTATTATACTTTTCCGACGATTCAGTGGGGTCTTATCTTCTATCTTTTGCATTTTTTCATTTGTAGTAAAGAGCTCGAGTTGACCAAATTTCTCTCCTCTACTCAAGAACTCATCAAACTGGGCAGACATATATAACAGTCCATTGGATGAAGAGATGGAGCCGATGGGATTTCGCCATTCTAATACCTCAAAGTCTAATAATTTAGCCAAAAGATTAACAGTTGTTGTCTTAGCAGTACCGGCAGCACCTTTTAGTAGCAATATTATTTTTCTTTTTCTACCACTGATGACGTCTTCAAGCCACGATTTTATGTTTGCAACTTTCCGTTTATGTACCGCTAGCTCTTCAAGGTTGGCTGGAGCAAATTTTTCGGCCCATGGGCGAGTATCATCACTTGATGATCGATCGGATGGTATTTGTTTCGGAAGAAATTTCTGACTTCCACTAAGATTATTTCCTTTTTGCTGGAAACTCTGTAATTCTTTGAAACATATGTGCTTCTTAGTTTTCATGTTGTCAACGCCTAAAGACGGTATAGTGAACTCCAAATCGTCTTCATCCCAGTCCGAAATTAGGTCCAAGTTATCGATTGAAGCTTCTTTAAGCGCTTGCTTACTAAAGTCGCCTGTTGTAGATTGACGGTTACAGGAATTAGATTTTGGGAAATCGAGCTCGGTGGTGATTGATTTCAAGTTGACTTCCTTTTTTATGTTTTTGCTAAGAAAACCTTTGGTCTTTGCCCTTTCAGGACTGCTGCTACCAATTTTTTCATAGTCTTGATCGGTTTGTGCATGGGTATGGTAGCTGTGAGAAGTCGCTCTTAACGGAGATATGACGGTACTAGCTTGGGCTGGGTGTTGACTGGCTCTGATCTTCGATTTTTGTCTTGAAGGACGGACACGGGTGTGGTTTTTATGAAGGTCAGGCGGCGAAGACTGGACAAACGCGCTTTGTACTGCCGCGACCTTATTCTCTGCCTCTTCTAATTTCCTACGCGGTGGTTCTTTAAAGCGTCTCAATCTTTTTGGCGGTGGTGACATGTTGTAACTGAAGCTAGCTATTCATGTTTGTTCGAGGCTACACGGCGGTAAGGTCTAATCCCAACTAAACCAAACACTCAGTTGTTAGGGCATCTGTTGATAGACCTGGTTCTGATAGGATTTCTTAGAATAATATTGGGCAGCGTATTTCTTCTTGTGCAGGACTTACAATTTGGCTGGGCAGTTCTTGCTAATCAATAACCTGTAATTTGTTTTTATTTCACTGGAAATACTTTTATAAGATACAATTTATTCAATCTTGCGGAAGTCCCATAATCAAATTGATGATACAGAAGATTACTGTCCTTGATAATAACCGATACCAGATTTCAGCCGGAAGACTAATCACGAATCGAGGGATGAAGACTACAAAGCTATCGATGATAATTACCTCAATTCTTATGGTGAAATTCTGCCCAGAATTGTTATTTGGTCTGGACGAAGAGCGTAGTTGTGTAACTTTGCTCACAGGGCGGTCAGGAGGGGTGGTGTTGATAAGTTCTCGGTCACGTAATCAGCACTGTCCAATATGACGAAACTCAGGATCGAGGTCAGGCGATAACATAAACACCGCCATGGTTGGATGGTGCGGTGGTACATCGTTTTGTCTGGTCAGCCATGTAAAGTCTGGATAGATTGGACACTTATCCCACTCTACAGCACAAGAAAATGAATTATTAATATCCCACTCGAGACAGTAGATCGCTGTTTCAAATCCGGCAAAACACAACCACATTTCTCGCGGCGCTGGTATGCATGGATGACGAAGGCATGCTTGGATAACCAAAGGTTTTGAAACATCCATTTGGTGGGTACTCGCGGAGGAGGGTCGACTGTTTGTGTAAGCGAACATACCTCATCGTGGTATTTGCAATTGAAATCCAGAGTATGAGTGTCTCCAACGTCAAAAGAGTCATCCCACATGTATACATAGGGTCATGCGTCATATCTTTATAGCTGCATACACATGAAATTAAATTAAACTAAAAACAAATCAAACATCTAAACCCCAAATACAAACCGTAGACAGACTCCAACTATTTTTATATACGTCGTACAATTACAGATATGTTTCACAGTACATGTTTACTCTGAAAGATATTTTTGACTAAACTTGACCTACGATCCTGTTAAAATCTAGACATGCCAGAACGAACTGCACGCAGTGCGGAGCAGACGAAGACTATTCATCTTCGATCGCTACCAGCTTTGGTGAGGTCTCGGTTGGTAATGATCTCGGGGGTGTGAATGTTATTCTATCACGTAATCAGAACACAATGTTTCTACCTAAGCGAGGTAGAACATAGGAGGGCAAGACTGAACATCTGGAGTGGTGCTCTCTACGAACCTGGTAGTGAAATATTCTCCCAGAGCCAAATTCAGTCAAATTTCGCAATACCGAACAAGTTGGCCCACGAGGCAATGATTCAAACTACTCCACCACGTCAAATTTTAACTCCCAACGAGTCCGAATCCTATCCAAGCCTCATCAAGTTTACAAGTACGACCTAGTACATCCTCATCCCAATGACCATACCTTTCGTCGACTTTCTCCGGCCTCAGTTGACCACCAAATACACGCCCACGCCGATATTTATACCCGACGGAGGAAACAAAGCGTGGAGCACAAATCTGGGAGACTGTTCTTTGGGGTTGGCGGGAGAGTATTGAGTACAAGTTAACAAGATGATGCAAAGGATAGATACAGTCTCAACGGGCGTGGAATTTTGAATTTTGGCATAGAGTTTTTACAAATTGAGCTTTGTGCATGCCAAGACTTCGGCTGCGAGAGTGCAGGCGATACTATAAAAACTGCCATGGTTGGATGGTGCGGTGGTACATCGTCTGGGCTGGTCTGCCAAGTAGAGTCTGGATAGCTTGGACACATATCCCACTCGAGACAGTAGATCGCTGGCTCAAATCCGGCAAAACACAACCACATTTCTCGCGGCGCTGGTATGCATGGATGACGAAGGCATGCTTGGATAACCAAAGGTTTTGAAATTCCCTTTGGTGGGTACTTACGGAGGAGGGTTGACTGTTTGTGTAAGGAAGCATACCTCATAGTGGTATTTGCGAATGAAATCCAGAGTATGAGTGTCTCTAACGTCAAAAGAGTCATCCAATATGTAAACATAGCACTGGTCATGTGTCATAGCTCTATAGCTGAATACACATTAAATGATTTAAAAAAAAAAAAAAAGGTAGAACATAGATAGACAATTAGATGTAGACTAGACACGAACACTTTTAACTACCGAAATATAAGTTCAGTAAAACAAAAACGTCACTAATCCTAACCTTTTATCTCTGATCCTTAAATCCCCAATATCTTACGATTCGTACAGTATTGACTTGCCGGTCAACGTTACTTCTATCATTCCAGATACCCCCCTGAACTTTAATAGATCCTTTCAACAATCATCTCACTATCCACCGAAGAATCCTAAAATCCTAAAATGAGATTAAAAATCGAAGATACTGTAAAGGGTTTAAAGAATTCAGAAGTACTGGAAAGACGTTAACTCAATGGGAATTGATAATTTTTCCTTGGGAAATTAATCTGCCTACGACGGCTCCTGTCCTTTATGTCCTCCTCAGCGTCGCGTTTAAGCTCCCCTCCTAGCCTACCTGAGAATACTCCATTCTCCCCGGCTACCCTCTTTCCTGTGACATCCTCCCCCCCTAAGTACGTACTCCCTTGGGTCCTTCCTCATGCGCAACCTTGCAATCATCCTTATGCAACACTGAGACTCGTTCTTGTGCGCAACCTTGCATTAATCCTTATGCGACACTTAGATCCCTCTTTGTGCGTATCCTTGCATTCTTCCCCATGCAACCTTTCGCGTCTCTGTAAGCGCTGCTTCGTTGGCGCTTAAAGATCTAGCCGGGTTGGTCCTAGTGACCAGTCCCAATCCAGACACAGCCCGTAACATGAACGTTGTAGAGGTAATTTCCTATGAAAGATTTATTGCTGAGGTATTTGGGATAATATGTTATAAGTGAGCTAAGGCTGCTGATGAGTAACGGCCTCGCCTCAACCTGGCGCTAGGTAATAGTATGTATGTATTAATTTCTTGTCAGGCAAAAGCCTTACACCCAAGAGGCATGATACAGGTGTGTGATCCCTGAAAACTCAATACTACCCACCTGTCCAGCTTACTAAGCTGACTAAGTACATGAGAGAATAGACTAAGTGTTATATTAGCTAGGCTATGTAGGAGCAGGACGATGGATACTCTTGAGGAAGTTATGCTCACAGTAGGTATCGTATGTCGCTATCGCGTGTGTTCTCGAGATATGTAAGAATTTTATCTATATTATCATATAAAAGAAACATAAATTCACAGAACGAACGGAGGTTGAGACCTCGTTAAATATTGCACCAGACTCACTGTGTTGTTCATAGCCTAGTTCTCAAGGAGTTTGATAGGGCGATACCTCTGCAGGGTACGAAATGAGATAGTCAGTGGAATAGAGATCAAACGACAATATGTGAGGCGAAGCTTCACTGTGAGAAGTAGAAGAGCCACAGGAAGTACTGCGGTGCAATGGTCTTTCAAAGAAGAGATGAGGTGTAGAAGTAAACGTGTATTTATTTTCAGAAGACGTTGTGTAAGGTCTGAATATCCTAATGCTAAGCTTTATTATACACCTAATTCCATCCAACTACCCATCATACTTTCCATAATATCATGATTTCCATGATGTCATACTTCCTGTGATATCATACTTTCCCCAACTCGAGGATGGCATCTGCGATCTATTAAATGACGTCAGGATGTTACTTGACTCGAATATGACGTCCGAAGACAGTGCATCTTCATCTCTACTATCAATAACTCATCATGATTTTTCAATCTGTGAAACTATTGCTAGAACATTCCCTTGCGATGTCATTTCTCTCCTGCGAAATATGACCATCTCGTTTTCCCTTAGTTCATCAGTCTCTCGCTGATTCCATTATCTCTATTCTATCGAGTTCAAGTTTGGTGCATAATACCCACACATGCATTACATACTAAACATCCCACAGTTTAGCTCCACAGTCACGTGCATCTACTATGAGATGGCCAAATGCGTGTACCAAGCGTTTTTTGTCTGATTATAATTTCAAGCTCTTAAGCTAAAGCTCCAAATCCACTATGAGTACAAGACCGGTGTTCACAGCCAGGACTACATCTAAGAAATACCTACCTTGGTTCCACCGCATGAACCACCAGAAAACCAGCAGTCAGTTAAAAATATGCGCCTCCGCGAATTCCTCCAAAAACCGACAAAAGAAAAAGATTTTATTGCAAAGAAATTAGAACTGGAAGCAGTACTTCTCGCCTCGATTCCCGTCAAGTCAGGTTGAGTTTCCTTACGAGATATGTTCGATCTCCACTTAGAGCATAAGATGGATTGTTAGACTCTACGAGTCAATTGTTTGTTTTTTTTTATTTTTTATTTTTTTTATAAATTTTAGGTCCTAGGCTATGCTCTATATCTCCTAGGAGTCAAGGACCGGTGTACACGGCCAAGATCATGCTTCCCACATGCCCGACTCGGTCTCACTGCGTGACCCACTACACAACCAGTAGCTAGTTATAAGAAAGAATTTAAATGCTCCCACAGACTCCCATAACCAAAATTCCAAATCCAATACTCCAATTTGAGGTGGGAAAGCGACACTCCTCGTCTCGTTTTCCTTCCTGTCATGCTTCGTGCTATGACCTAGTCAATGTTGTCTCCGCTGAGAGCTGGTGACGGACTTGTAGGTGAGTCGCCGAAGCAGCCGGTTTCCTGCGCAAAATTTGTAAAATCCTCAAGGCACTTAGGCCCGAGAAGCTTTTGGACAAAGTCGTGATGTGACATTGTCCCTCGGAGTCGACGCGTCTGACGTTCGTGCAGTCGACAGTGAATGAAGTGGAGAGGTAATGTTTCCTCTCCACACGCACACTCCATAGAAGCGGTGAAGTTGTTGAAACGACGGTGACATGCAGCGAAGTTTCCGTGTC